TTTTCTATACAAGATTTAAAAAATATAGAAAAAATATGTGAACAACGTGATGTTAAAAGAGAAGAAAATGTAAATAACATAAATGAGAGAAATTCAAAAAAACATGATCAATTGAATCAGTTGAAATATGATATGACTGGATTCAATTTTGATCAAGATTTAATTCCGTATGGACTTGGAGTACAAGAAAAATTAAACAACAATGAGTTTCTCCCTTCATTTCATGAATACATTTATAACTTTAAATCTCTGATCAAATGCCAAAATTGTCTTTCTTTTCCTAAATATAGTGCAAATGGCTTATGTAAAGTTTGTTATTTCTATTTCTCACAACAACAATATGATAGAGTTTTAAATAAAAATTTCATTATTACCAAATTTCCTACAAAATCATCAATTTCTCCATCTGTTTTAGCTCTCCAAATAATTTATGGGTATCAAAACTTTTGTTGGGGTCAACAAGAAGCTATAGAGAGTTTTGTTAACAATAAAGATACTTTAGTATTATTACCAACTGGAAGTGGAAAAACATTATGTTACTCAATTGGATCTTTACTTACAAATGGTATTGCAATAATACTTAGTCCTTTAAAGGCATTGATTGAAGATCAAGTGATTGAGTTAGTTTGTTCTGGAATTCCATCTGCAGGACTATATGCAGCTTCAGATAAACCCCCATCATATCAAGAGCAAGTATTTAGTGAAATTGCATCAAAATTGGTGCAAATCATTTACTTGGCTCCAGAAAAATTTGTAGCAAATAAAAGTTTTCAAAATATGTTAAAAAGGATATCAGTGACTTCAAGAGTTCAATTTGTCATTGATGAATCTCATTGTGTATTGGAACACCAATATTTTCGTAATGCTTGGAATGGTATTGCAGAGATACTCAAAAGATTTTCCTAATTCTTCAATAATGATGGTTAGTGCAACAATCTCAGAAAAAGATGCTCATACATTGTGTGAAAAAATGAAAATAGAATGGAATAATCTTACAGTGATCAGATCATTATCATTTTCCCACCCTCACATTTTTTTGGAAGTGAAGGAAAAAAAAAATCAAGAAATGAAGATAGTTATAACTAAGGTTGTGGGCGAAACCTCTTAATGACTGTCAAAACTCTGTCGAAACTCTAATGAACAATTAATGTGTAACCTGT